CGACGCTGTCGGTTCGCTGCCATATCCTTCAATGTCTCCGATCAACCAGTTGCAGAGTCTTTCGGACCTCAACCAGGAGGGCGAGACACCTACTCTACCTAATGGTTATGTGCATTTCTTCATGCCTCGTTTTCACGTCGTTTCCTCCAGGCCGGAGCAGCTACTGCGAATAAAGCGTGATTTGGTAAACAGCAAGCTTTCAATGTGCTCAATTTTGCAAACCACGGTGTTCAAATCACCTGCGAATACAATTAGAGCCGAGTTCGATGAGTTTCTCATCAAATCTGCAGTTGGTCGGTGCATACGCTGAGATAATTAATTAACACCTTTTGGTGTTGCTTCCCTTCCGGATGCTAATGGAACCTGGAGTCGCATCGCACATGAGCGATCACTGATGGGGATCCAATCGATCAGCGACGCTTCGGCTTCATTATGGAGTACAACGCCTACATCACGCTGGCCTACTGAACGGTTTTCGTTGTCACCTGATGTGCAGAGTACCTCAAAGACAAATCCGGTGCACTTAAGTGGCTTATAGTACTGGGATATTGGATACGCGTCTCCTATACGCAGTAGACGTCAACTCCCATTGTACGCGCCAGAAACCTGCATCAGAATTCTCACCAGAGTGGGAGGTTGACGAAGTTTCAGAATCTGCAATCTATTTGGTGATAAACTCCTTACACAGCCACTAAACAACGAACTTCGGCGAGTGACGAACAAGTTGTTTGAGGGAATGTTACTGGTCGGAAGAAAGGGCATAGGAAGAGAGCTTTGTATGGAAGGCGACGCCTTAAACAAAGGTTGGAATGTCCAGTTATCATTGGCCCCACCCACTCGATGCAATAGGCAGCGCGGTCCTGATTAGCCTGTGCGACGACCGATGCAGCATGGAATTGCTTTTGTATGCATAAGAGGTGGATGGACGGGTACTGCTAGGGCATTTAGCCGCCAAGCAAAAGAACGATTAGAGTTCTCGTTTAAAGCCTGGCTCTGACAAGAACTTGGCCGCGAGGAAGCGGGTAAAGCGAAATGGAGGATCATTTATTTGGATCGATTTATCCTCCCAACTCAGATACCAACTCCAGTCGAACGCCCAAACTGGAGGACCAGGAACCTGAACTGTCTAACCTCTACCTTTCGACTTTTCAAGTATAAGATCCATTAGATTGATAAAAGCCGTCCTGTGTAGTTCGTCGGGTCGTGGAGGTGCTCCTATTCTTCATCCAAATGGGCATCCAAAGGACAGCAACCAAAGCCAGTGCACGAAAGTTCATGGTTAATGGTTGTACAAACTGAACTGAGGTGCTCCGGCCATCACACCAATCAAGATGCAGTCTCTTCGTGATGCTGAGTTCTACCGGAACAACCTACACAGCACTGCACGAGTTTCATGGGGCAACCGGTCGAGCGATGCGTAAGTTAGTCAGAGCTTCAGGTAACCACGGTCGTATAGTGGAGTAAGTGGTCGATCTCAATCGATTACACCGATCGGGGCATGTGTGGCACGTCGCCAAATATTCTACTCAAACACATCGCATTTCACCTTCATTTACCATCACAAGCGATTTCTCCCTCCCTTTTTACTTTCACAATAGACAAAGCTCTAAGCAGGGCTCTAGAAAACTGCAGA